GGAAGTGTTTATTGGGGGCTACATTTAGCCCATAGAAGTGGAAGTGTTTATTGGGGGCTACATTTAGCCCATAGAAGTGGAAGTGTTTATTGGGGGCTACATTTAGCCCATAGAAGTGGAAGTGTCTATTAAGAGTTTCATGAGGAAACTAATAAAGGTGATAGTATTTGCTAGGAGCTACATCTAGCCTTTAATAGAGGATAATATGTCTGTTGGGGTTACATGTAGCCTATATAGAAGGGGGGTTTTGGGGTGACTAAGTGAATCCTTTGTAAGTGAAAGTTTTGTGTGTGTTTGTTCTTTTCTTTCTTTTTCTTTTTTTTTTTTGGATTGGGAGGGGGGGTATATGTAGCCTAAATAGGGTCACCCAGTTGTACTAGCCCAAAAGAGCGTAACCTGCTGTGTAACTTTAACGCTGTGTGTGAATTGTTTAATATATAATGGGAAGTTCAAGTCATCTTGATGACCCACAAATTATCGCGAAGTGGAGGAGTAAAAATTGGGTTGCTGTGTCTGTCTGTCTGTCCGTCTGTCTGTCTGTCTGTCTGTCTGTGTGTGTGTGTGTGTGTGTGTATGTGTGTGTGTGTGTTTCGTTTGGAAGGGAGGGGGGGGGTCTTTTCTACGAAAGCCAAGAACAGAAAGAATAAATATCCTTAGAAATGAAAAAAAAATTAACTCCCATGAATGCATAAGGTATGTTTTGATTTTTATTTCCTACTGGCCGATAGTTTCCTCTTACAAATGAAAAAAACCCAACTTATCAACACCTGTGATGTAATGGTCAGGCTTTTCTCCTTATTACACGGAAAACAAAATTTCAATTCCTAAGTGAAGATGTTTTAATCAAGTACAATCATATATCCCGGTCATTCTGCAGGAACGTTGTATATCCCTCTCAGCACGGGTTGGCCCGAACAACAGACAGGGTCAAACCCCGCTTCCTAAGTGACGTAATATGTGTCGACAGAGGCGTAAAAATGCCTGTTTTTCGAATATCAATAAACGTAAAATATGTACATGTATTTCTAGGCACCACATGGATGCAGGAGATCACGTGGTTACTCATGAACGACGGTAACATCTCAGCTGCCAAGCAGACGCCGGTGTATATGAGGTCACCTTTTTTGGAGTTCAAGGACATGACCCTGAATGAGGTCGGCCTTGACATCGCCTCTCAAATGGCGTCACCGAGGGTCATCAAAAGCCACCTGCCTCTCAAACTCATGCCATCACTGCTGCACAAAAGTGGGCCAAAGGTCAGAGATAGCTAGTGCTATTATTATTAGTGATCAAAGACTCAAAGAATGCACGAACGCCAGTGGGTTTTTTTTGTTTGTTTGTTTTGTGGGGGTTTTTTTGGGGGGGAGGGCATGTCTCTTGTTTCACTTGACTTATCGCAAACCGTTATAAATGTATGTGATTTATTTTTGTTCGTGTGCCTGAAGAAGACAGACAGACAGACAGACAGGCAGACAACAGACAGACAGAAAGACAGACAGACAGACACAACAATATTGATTAAAAATAAAAATATCAATAATAGTAGTAACATTTTTTTTAAACAACAGCAAGAAGAGGTTTTTTTTAAAGTTTTTGAAGGTCAAATGAGCGCCAGACGATTAGAGGTGTTACAAGAGAGTAACAAACATTTTAAAAAAGAAGGGGAGAAAAGGACGATAGACGTTTGATAGGAAGG